CTTACTATACATGGGGAAGATCTGTGGTAAAGGATAAGTTGATATCTTTTTCAGATTTGCCTTAGGATTGCATATTTTATATAATAAATGTGTAATGTTCTTTCCAAAATGGATTTGTTGAATAAAAAACCACTTCTTACATTTAAATCAGGTTTAGTTTTGTTTGCTTTGCAAACTAAAAAAAATGTTGGCATAATGTAATGGAAATGCTGTCGTCCTCAAGAGATAATTACCTCAGAGATAATTAAAATTGAAAATAAAATCATTGAGCAACAACATCAGTTTGCATTTCCAAATTATGAACTTGCTTAGAACACATACTAATATATTTAATTATAGTGGAAATAAGTGTATTGCGTGTACTTATTCATGTTAAAAAAAGATACATGTATATAAATTCATGGGTGACCTTAAAAAACAATTGTGATAATAAACTCATTTTTTATATCTATGGTAAAGCTGAGGCACATCAATGAAAGTAGTAAATACAAATTTCTACCTTATAGGCCTAGCTTTAGCCACTGGATTTTAAAGCATTTCATGGGTGTAAGCCACAAACAGGACTCAGCTAATATTTACAGGCTAATTTGCAGTGAGTTCTTGCACCAGGATATAAACATAAACTGCCTATTTACTATTTTATTGGCTTAAAACGAATGTTTTCTACTAAACGTGCACATTTATGAACACTGTAGGTTTTCCGTAAAAAAGCTTTTACTATCTGCTGGCTCACTGTACAAGTGCTGTGAGTCAAACACATTGGGGTCTATTCTGCCGAGGGCAGCTGAGTGAATGACCGATCTGAAGTGAAGTGAGCCGAACACTGTTCGGCTATTCACTTCAGGCTGGTACGGCTGATTTCAGCTGTATATCGGCTGATTTCAGCCGTATATCGGCTGATTTCAGCCGTATATATCGGCTGACATTAGCTGTACATCAGGTGGCTTCGAGCGGCTTCGGGTCGAGCATGCTGAGCATGTTCGGCCAACCCTAAAAAAAAAAAAAAACTCTCCCGGGCGCTCTGGGAGCCTCCCGTTACCGGCCGCCAAGGAGAGAAGCACTGATGTGTCTTTTTCTATATTGTGAATAGCCTGTACAGCACCCCTTCGGTTCTACTGAACCGAAGGGGTCCTGGGGCCGAAGCTAGCCGAAGGATCGGCCAGATCCTTCGGCAGCTTTGTGAATAGACCCCTAAGAATTACAGGCCTACAATATAAAACAACAAATTGCCATGAAAAACAATGTAACGCTTTGGCATGCTAAAATCCTGCATAATCATACCGCCAGGGAGGTCAAAAATGCATTCAAGTACTTTAACGATTAACAAAAATGTAGCTGGACTACAATCTCACATTTAGGGGTCTATTCACGAAGCTGCCGAAGGATCTAGCCGTAGCTTCGGCCGATCCTTCTGCTAGCTTCGGCCCCAGGACCCCCTCGGTTCGGTAGTTCAGTTCAGGCCGACCCGAAGCCATGTGGAGCAAGCCGATGTATGGCTGATTTCAGCCGATGTACGGCTGAAATCAGCCATACCAGCCTGAAGTGAATAGCCGAACAGTGTTCGGCTCACTTCACTTGGGGCCCTCGGCAGCTTAGTGAATAGACCCGTTAGTTAGTTAGTTAATTTGTATTGCGGTTGTAGTTTATCACTGGAGTGAGCTTGAAGCTCTGGCTACTTTACAACACACACAGGGACTCTGGGGAAGAAAAGTAGCCACCCTCCAGAAGGAAAGACAGTGTCAGCACAAATCCAGAGATGATTTGAGGATCTACAACTAAGGGGTCTATTCACTAAGCTGCCGTAGGCAGCCGAGTGAATGAATGACCTAAAGCGAAGTGAGCCGAACGCTGTTCGGCTATTCACTTCAGGCTGAAATCAGCCGTACATCGGGTGGCTTCGGGTGGGCCAAACATGCTCAGCATGTTCGGCCAACCCAAAGTGCAGGAGGAGTTCCTACATCTGGATCGGCTAAGCCGAACCTCTGGCAGGCTACTCACTGCTGTTCGGTCTATTCTTATAGATGCTGAACAGCAGTGAGTAAATAGCCGAATGCCGCTAAGCGGCATTCGGCTCGGCTGTTCTGCTCGGTCCCTCTGTGGGACCAAGCAGAACAGAAAAATAGTTAAAAAAGGAGAAAAAATAAATAGAAAATGATTGTGCGGAGCTAGCAGTGACAGCCAGCTCTGCCCAACTGTTTTCTATTGTCCGGCGGTTCTGCTGCCGTCCAAAAAAAAAAGAAAAAAAACTCTTCCGGGCGCTCCGGGAGTCTCCTGCTCCCGGCAGCCCAGGAGAGAAACACTGCTTTTTCTTTTGTTTTTCTTTATTCTGACACGGAGCCGTGTCAGAATAGAAAAAAAATAAAATAATGTTTGGCCATAGGAATGCATTGCTAGATTCCTATTGGCTATTTCAATTTGCAATAGCCAGTAGCAAACTAGCTATCATTCCCGCCCTCTGCTGCTGTCAATCAGTAGTTGTGGACCTGATGGAGAACTGCAGCAGAGGGCGGGTGCAATGCTAGTTTGCTATTGGCTATTGCAAATTGAAATAGCCAATAGGAATCTAGCAATGCATTCCTATGGGCAAAAGTTATTATTATTTTTTTTTCAATTCTGACACGGCTCCGTAATAAAAAATAGAAAAAGCAGTGTTTCTCTCCTTGGCGGCCGGGAGCGGGAGACTCCCGGAGCGCCAGGGAGAGGTAGGCTGTTTGGAGATCAGTGTCCCTGGTTCGCTGGTAACCAGGGACGCTGATCCCTCTGCAAGTGGCCAGAGCCAGCCGTAAGATCAGCTGGTAACCAGGGCCGCGGATCCCTCTGCAAGTGGCCAGAGCCAGCCGTAAGATCACGGCTGGCTCCGCCCAGCTGTCAGAAGCAGGCTGTCGGCCGGCCAATGGCCTGCTGCTCGGCCAGCTTCGGCTTTCAGCGCAGCTCAGCCGAGTCGAGGCATAAGCGCTCGGCTCGACTGAGCCACTCGGCCACGTTCGGGAGCTGTGCGGGTTATAGTGAATAGCCCGTACAGCAGCCCTTTGGTTCTACTGAGCCGAAGGGGTCCTCGGGCCGAAGCTAGCCGAAGGATCGGCCGAAGCTACGGCTAGATACTTCGGCTGCTTCGTGAATAGACCCCTAAGTGATGCACAAATAAGCTAAATTTTTGTTAACAGTTAAGGTACTTGAATGCATTTTTAAGATTTAACTCCTGAGTTTGTCAGTTTAAGATCGTGTTGATGTTATATCAACACAAGCTTGCCTGTAATCTTCATTGCCATTTCTCCCTGCTCTTTTGTACTTCCTTTTAACCAATCAAATCCTGTGTGTACTTTAGATGTTTGTATTGTTTCTTCTGAGTTCTCCAGATTCCTCTAATGGCACGAAATATTTAGTTATTTGTCTAAAAGCCGAATTAGTCTTTGAATGTGTGCTTGTATGACTGTGATTAAGACAATAGTCTACAGTCTAAGCTTCTCTTAATTGGGGAGTGTTGTGAATAGATTCACAACACTCCATAAATATGGAAAATAAATAAGTGATACCCAGTAGAACATATCAGTTAGTGTGTCCCCAGATAGGTGCAAAAAGTGCACTGTGAAAGTATCAGTGGCTAGTAGAAGCTTTCATGTTGCTGTGAGAGGAACCAGAACATTTACTTTAAGATAGATTGATTTGATTGACCGATATTAACAAATTAGTAGTATGGGAGGAGAAAATTACCAAATAACTGTTTTCCCTTCAGCAGCTAGAGCCACAGTATTTGCCTTCTCTCCATTTTCTGCATTCAGTGCATTACATCTAACGGGTCTCAAATTCTTCTCAGATGTTGTCTAGCATTCAAAATTCGAAGGAAGCGTTTATTTGGCAGCAACACAATAACAGAATGGCAAGGATCAGCAGTAATTAGAAATGTAATTACTTTTTAAAAAATGTCCTGTTGTTAATTAAAATAAAGCATATTGTTATCAGAGGAACTTCTCTTTAATTTGTCTGATCAGTTTTAGACACAATTTGCTAATGTTCTTTTCTTGGCTTGAAGAGAGTGCTTTGCTGCTATTGACAAACAGCTGATATAACTGGAATAGGCTTCTTTTCAATGAGCCTATATTTGTCTTTCCTTCAATATCACTGCTACTTGGCTAGTGAAATTATGCATTTGTGTAGGGTATTACCAACACAAGTAGACTACTGAGCAAATATTTGCAAGAGGTGTTGGGAATGATAGGAAACTCGATTTTATAAAGATGTGCTATTGTGTTAAATTTGAAAGTAACCTTCCCTTAACCTCCCTGGCGGTATGATTATGCAGGATTTTAGCATGCCAAAGTGGTACATTGTTTTTCATGGAAATATGTTGTTTTATATTGTAGGCCTGTAATTCTTAGTAAATCTTAGGAATAACTCACCTAAATCTGTCCAAACAAGAGTCCAGTAGACATCCTGGGTATGATGAAGTTTGAAACATGAAATCATAAATTATAATATAACAAATAATTAGAAATAATTACACAAAATAAAAATATAATAATAATACATTTAATTAAATAATGTATTCAAACCAAAAACACTGACATCTGTCCAAACAAGGGTGTAATATTACTTTAGTAAACATCCCGGGTATGATAGACTTTGAAACATGGGACAACACAAAGTCCAACGTCACAATCAGGACAATGGAACTTGGTTTCTTTTCGGATTCTTTTTCCACTGTCATCGCGCTTTGAGCAACAAACCACGCACATCCTTGTAGGTGCTGACTTTTCCTCGGTTGGTGGGATGTGGTCCATGAAGTGACGACCAGTCAGGCATTCTGGGTTGACAACGCCAACAGCACAACGTCCAGATCTATTTACTGATGGTGTTTGGTGGTTCAAGAAGATTTGTTCGGCAAGTTTCCAAATGAATTCTGAATGAATCACAGGCTTGTCACTCTGTTTTTTTAGCAGAACGTAAGCATTCCACAAGCAATGCTCAAGAAGATGCCTGAAGATCTTCATATAGTACTTCTTTTGCTGTTTCCGCATTGCTGGGTAGAATGTCATTGCTTGGTCCGCTCTGTCGACCCCTCCCATGGTGTTATTGTAGTCTATTACTACTTGTGGCTTCATGACTTCTCTCCCACCTTTCGTGCGTACCATACCAGTGGAGGCATTATGCACAGTACTCATTAGGCACACATCTTTTCTGTCGCGCTATCGCAGTGCCATCATTTTGCCTTTCTGCCAGGCAACCATTTCTCCAGCCTTCAGCTTCTTATTGCCAAACACTGACGGCACTGAACCCAGCTGAGCCTTCCCTTGTAGGCATTAGACTTTCATCTACGGTGATGTCTCCTTTCTGGCACATAGCTTTGTGGAAATTCCTTACAATCATTTGGGATACCTTCCAAATTTTCTTCAGTTTTGGTGCAGGATGAGTGGTTTCATCAAATTCTTCATTGTTTGTGAAGTGTAAAAACTTCATGATGAGGGTGAATCTACCGTGTTTCCCCGAAAATAAGACACTGTCTTATATTTTTTCAATGAAATCATTGATCTCCATATGCAAGTGGTCTTTGAATGGCTTGTTTATTGCAATATCAAGAGTCTGGAGATAGGCTGTCATTCCTGCAGGAAACTTCTCAAGGAAGTTTTTCATGTCTTTAGCACGGTGAGTGCTGGCTGAATCCCAGACTAGCAGACCTCTTTGACCACCTCGCAAAATAAGTGGCAGCATTAAATCGACCCACTTCCTTATAACTGCTTGTGTGCACCAGGCTTTTTCGGTTTCAAAAACATAAATGCCTGAAACACGTTCAACCTTCTCTTTCTTGCCCTTAGAGATGATTAGAGGTGTGACTTTCTTTCCATCCATGCGAATTGCCAAAATACAGGTAACACGTGCACTTTCGTAACCAGTGGAAGGAATGTAGATTGACGAGGCACCCCTCTGATTAATTATTGTTTGAGATCCTTGGCCCATATACACTGCAGTTTCATCCATAGCAATCATGTTGGAGAGTTGGTATTTAGAAAAGTCGATGCCATCAACAAAAGACTTGAATGCAAGCGCACGTTTAACAATTTCAGCATCTTCCAGCTTGAACAATGTTGTTGATCGTCTTAGAGAGAGTTCATATCGCTGAAGGAAGTTATCCAGCCAATGTTGTGATGCTTTGAATTCTTCTGAGGATATATCCATCTTTGGCGCCATCGCAAGGGCAAATGCTTGAATATCAGCCCTGCGCACAACCAAAGCCTTTGCTCTCCTGTCAGCAATCCATTCACAGGTGATGTCTTCCAAATGTGGAAATAACGTTTGCCAACCTGATCCACACTTGTGCTTCTTAGCATTTCCCTTGACCACCTGTTGACTGAGGGTATTGTAGTCTGCTCGCCATTTTCGGACCAATCGGAGATCCAACTTCTTCTCTTGGCAGTAAGCTGTAAGATTCTTGCCGCATGATTCATCTACAAATTCTTTTCTTGTACTCGACAGAATAGCTCTTTCTTGTTGCGCTCATCTTGTCTGGGGGTCAAAATACAGTATAATTCTGTTTAAATCTACCATTAAAGCAAGTACGATAACATAATGCCTATGGTACAGGTCACTTGGGGGGGCCCGGACAGGAGTAAGAGGGCCCCATTAACCAAAAATAAATTGCAGAACGTTTCCAGGCACACTCACCAGCCAGCATACAAAAAACCTTTCTAACCACTAAGGTTAAAAACAGAGGTTTGGATACACGTCTTCTGCAGAAAATATGAAAGCCGCACAGCCACGTCAAGGCACCTCCATATAGTGCGGTCCAAACTCTAAACTATGAGAGTCTCCATCTTGGAGCACATGGGGCAAAAAGATTAAATTGGGTGCAGGTTTGTCAGGAGGAAGCCCAACCTCCCTTAAGGTACAGGGACGCACAAGGGACCCCGCACATCACAGTGTGTGACCACAACGGCAGCTGAGACCCCCCATGCGTCACTGCACCAAATCACTCAAGGAAAACAAATGGCAAACGCACTCATCAATTCATTACCAGCTTTACAGCAAGGTGCACCTTATCAATTAATTACAGATGTTTCATAAAACAGTTTTATCTCTATTATTTAAATTATAGTTAAAAAAAAAAAGTGTGTGAGGGGATGCTCAATGGGGACATTATAGACTGGATACTTTCCCCATTGAGGATCCCCTCACATACTTTTTTTCTACCATAATTTAAATAATACGGTAGAGATAAAACTGTTTTATAAAACATCTCTAATTAATTGAAGATGATAAAATATGCTGAGGCACACTGCTGTCACATAGAGCAGAGATACCGGTAAGTAATGTACTGTAATGTACTGATAATTGGAGTGAAAGAATGGTACTGTGACTGTCACAGTACGGTACCTGGCTGCAGCTTGTCTGGAGCTCTGTAATGCCATCCAGGGAGCCAATCAGAAATTCCCTTACCTCATCTTTGCCCCACTGGCCATACCACTGTGACTGCTGGGAAACGTAGTTTTCCAGCGGCAGCTCTAATTTCCTAAAAGCCAAGGACCGGCGGGCAGACGGGCCGACAAGAGGGGGTGAGAGAGGGAAGGAGCTGCGGTGGCCAGAAAGTTTATTGGGATCTTGCAGACAGGAGACAAGCTGCACATACCGGCGGGCAGACGGGCCGACAGGAGGGGGTGAGAGAGGGAAGGAGTTGCGGTGGCCAGAAAGTTTATTGCGATCTTGCTACACTCCAACAGACCCCTTGCTGGCTGCTTGGATGCATGTACATGTGCGCCACCTACCGCCGAACTAGGTCTTATTTTCGGTGGTAGGTCTTATATTACTGAAATCCCTGAAGATAGGGATAGGTCTTATTTTCGGGGTAGGTCTTACTTTCGGGGAAACACGGTATACTCTGACTTGACCGTGCCAAAGAATGAAGTGGCAAGTAATTTATTGGTCGTCCAATACCACTTCTGCAGGGGTTTTCCCACCACTCCCTGAAGTATTATTAGGCCCAGAAACTTCCAGATGTCATCTTTCGTCACTGGTTCCCACTTGCTGTTTCTGGAAAACTTCCCCTGCAGAGTAGATGATTGTTGCTGATTTTACCAGTTTGTCTCGGTAACTATTTCATTAATAACCTCATCGGTCAGAAATAATTGTAGGTGTGCCAAAGGGTTGTCATGTTCAACATCTACTTTCATACCAGATGCTCCAGTAAATGGAAATCTTGGGGGCGCTGCGTGATCCGTACCACAGTCAATAGAGCACCAAGTTAGCACATCACTTAGCTCGGTTGCAGAATCGTCACTTTCATTGGCTGACGACGAATTTCCCCAGGAATTGATGTCGCTCAATTCTACAAGTGATTCCAAATCACTATCGCTATTTTCAAGCTGTTCAAAAACCGCTTTTGACCTCAGTGTACGCTTTTTGGATGCCATTGACGCTCTCAAGTTTTCAAGGCAAAAATAATGGTAAAAGTGCAGGCAGGGCACTGGAAAAAGCTCTAGGGACAAAGCTGAGGTGAAATAATTTGATACAGTAACGTAATAGCACAGTATACAATGTAATACAATGTATTTTGTGTGTTTTAGGTGTTTTTACGTTTGAATTTCCCGTCGGATCCGCCCCCCTGCGACACTGACGCTTGCGTATGCTTGTAACTTCAGGTAAAAAGCTTAACTGTCGCTTCTTGAAGAAGTGGTCATGAGAACCTCTTAAGTTGTGATTGTTTTCTTAGGGATGCTCTAGTTTCACACAGCCCCAGAACAAGTGCAGATGAAAATAGGTGCAAAACAGGTGAAAAAAACGTGCAGTTGGAAAAGTAATGCAAGCTCAGATGAAAACAGGGGCACATGTTAAAAGATAGATTTGCACATTAAACATTTTTTATCTAAGAGGCTAAAACTGTCGCAATTGCTTTGATAAATTCCCCCCACTGTATATATTAGGGATGCACCAATACTATTTTTTCCAGACCAAGTACAAGTACTTGGCCATATAACATCATGTCATGTAACAGTTTTTCTAAAACATTACAGCCTAATGATTTTGGGACAGTGGTGGAGCATCAGGGCCCTGTCAATGTTGCAGCTGCTGTGACCCTGGTAGTTTTCGTGAAAATGCCAAGTATCTGCACTGGTATCTGAACTGGTATCTGTGCATCCCTAGTTATTTTTGAACCTAGACAAAAACAAACACTTAACCTTTACAGTGCGGGGGTAATCCCACTGCAAGGGTTAAGAATATTTTTTCCTGGAGTTTTGCTTTAACAAACAAACAAATGTACTTTTATTTCTAGGTTCACAGTTATTTGATCAAAATCTCCTAATTTTCATACTGTTTTTTGGAATCTAGTTTAGATGATAAGATAGAACAATGAGAACAGTTAATCTTGTTTAACAAGCCTTATGTATATATATGTTAAGTTAGGCTGAGATTACTGGTGGACCAGGTAGGTTGGTATCTTTATAAGCAAATGCAAATAAGTTGCTTACTCAAAAACTTTAGTCAAATCAATACAATTTTTCCTTATAGCAGCTATCCAGGCATGACTATGGAGTCTATTCACCAAGCTGCCGTAGGCAGCCGAGTGAAAGACCGACCTGAAGTGAAGTGAGCCGAACACGTTTCGGCTATTTACTTCAGGCCGGTACCGCTGATTTCAGCCGTATATCGGCTGACATCAGCTGTACATCGGGTGGCTTCACGTGGCATCGGGTTGGCCGAACATGCTCAGCATGTTCGGCCAACCCGAAGTGCAGAAGGAATTCGACTCAGCCGATCCAACATCTAGATCGGCTAAGCCGAACCTCCGGCAGGCTACTCGCTGCTGTTCGGTCTATTCTTATAGATGCCGAACAGCAGTGAGTGAATAGCTGAATGCCACTGAGCGGCATTCAGCTCGGCTCGAGCAGAACAGAAAAATAGTTTTAAAAGTCCAAAAAAATAAATTGAAAACCATTTTGCGGATCTAGCAATGACAGCTAGCTCCACCCAATAGTTTTCTATTGGCCGGCGGTTCTGCTGCCATAAAAAAAAAAGAAAAAAAACTCTCCCGGGCGCTCTGGGAGTCTCCCGCTCCCGGCCGCCCAGGAGAGAAACATTGATTTGTCTTTTTTTTCTTTATTCTGACACGGAGCCGTGTCAAATGTTTTGCCCATTGAAATGCATTGCTAGATTCCAATTGGCTATTTCAATTTGCCAATAGTAAATTAGCATTGCACCCGCCCACTGCTGCAGTTCTCCATCAGGTCCATCAGCAGAGGGCGGGTGCAATGCTGGTTTACTATTGGCTATTGCAAATTGAAATAGCCAATTGGAATCTAGCAATGCATTTCAATGGGCAAAACATTTGACACGGCTCCGTGTCAGAATAAAGAAAAAAAAGACAAATCAATGTTTCTCTCCTGGGCGGCCGGGAGCGGGAGACTCCCAGAGCGCCAGGGAGAGTTAGCTGTTTTGAGATCAGTGTCCCAGGTTAGCTGTTAACCAGGGACGCTGATCTCTCTGCAAGTGGCTGGAGCCAGCCGTAAGATCAGGGCTGGCTCCGCCCAGCTGTCAAAAGCAGGCTGTCGGCCAGCCAACTTCTTTCAGCACGGCTCAGCCGAGCCGAGGCATATGCGTTCGGCTCAACTGAGCTGCTCGGCCACGTTCGGGAGCTGTACGGGCTATAGTGAATATCAGTCCTGGGGCCGAAGCTAGCCGAAGGATCGGCCAAAGCTACGGCTAGATCCTTTGGCTGCTTCGTGAATAGACCCCTATATATAGTATGTTCCAGAAAGTAGTTATCCTAAAGGGACCTTGCTGACCAGCAAAGGTGCATGTATCACAATAACGGCTGGCCAAATTGACTAATCCTTTGATAGGAAAAA